CGCCGCGCGACGCCCGCCGGCCGTGCGTCACTTCCGCCGCCCCGCGGCCTCTCGCGAGAACCGCCGTCGCTATGGTAACGGCCGCCTTCCCTCCGCCCGCCCGGAATGGGCCCACCCCGCGTCAAGCGTAAGGGAGGCCCGTTGGGCGCGAGAAGCCGTGACTCAGCAAGGGCTGAAGGTGGGGGGGGAGGTTTGGGGTGACGTTATGATGGCGTCACACACACACACACACTCCCACACATACACACGCACCCCCCACAGCCCCGCGTCCCGGTGTGGAGAGCCGCGCGGCCCCTCCCACCGCAACACGGGGCCCTCAGCGGGTTTCATCCCCTCAGGATTTGAAGGCTTTATTGAGGTGAATTGGGTTGATATTAATGGAATTAATTCCATGAATCCGTTCATTCGTGGGTGAGAAGCTCCACGTGAGCCGGCAGTGCGCGCTGGCAGCCCGGAAAGCCAACCCCCTCCTGGGCTCCATCAGGAGAAGCATGGCCAGCAGGGCCAGGGAGGTGTCTCTGCCCTTCTGCTCTGTGCTCGTGAGACCCCACCTGGAGCACTGTGTCCAGCTTTGGAGTCCTCAGCACAGGAAGGCCCTGGACCTGTTGGAACAGGTCCAGTGGAGGGCCATGAAGATGATCAGAGGGATGGAGCACCTCCCCTATGAGGACAGGCTGAGAGAGCTGGGGTTGCGCAGCCTGGAGAAGAGAAGGCTCCGGGGAGACCTTATAGCAGCCTTCCAGTGTCTGAAGGGAGCTACAGGAGAGCTGGGGAGGGACTCTTTGTCAGGGAGTGGAGTGACAGGACAAAGGGTAACGGTTTTAAATTGGAAGAGGGGAGATTTAGATTAGATACCAGAAAGAAATTCTTTCCTGTGAGGGTGGTGAGGCACTGGAACAAGTTACCCACAGAAGCTGTGGCTTCCCCATCCCTGGAGGGGTTCAAGGCCAGGCTGGATGGGGCTTGGAGCAACCTGGTCTGGTGGGAGGTGTCCCTGCCCAGGGCAGGGGAGTTTGAACTTGATGATCTTTAAGGTCCTTTCCAACTCTAACCATTCCATGATTTGATGAATTGTGTTTTCCATCCGTGCAGGAGCCGAGGCCGTGAAGTAACGTGGCCCCTGCGCAGCTGCGGGCACGGGATCAGTCAATCCCTCAACACACAGCGAAGGAGGAGGAAAACTCCTGCCTGTTGTGGAGCCACGTATGTGTTCCCTCGCTGCCCAGTCAGAAATGTCAAGTTTTACTGAAATCCCGTTCCTTACAATAAACAACATGCCTCCGGCAGAAGGGAAAGCAGAACACGGACTTGAAACTTTACACGTTTTCCCTCCTCACGTCACTTTTCTGTTTACCCCCATGGCCTGGCTGCCAGTTCTGCGCCTTTCGTCATTCACGCTGTGACCTTCCCCAAATCACCTGATCCCCCACAGCTCGTTTGCCCTTCCCGTGAAACAAGGACGATATATTCCGCTGGAAAACACTCTGGAATGGAAAGATTAAATGTTTTGGAACCGCTAAAGCTGTATTATTGCCGTTGACCAAGATCTTTTTCTTTCCCAGCTCGGCATTTGCCTAATCCTGTTAGTCACACTCGGCAGCCTCCCCCTTCTTTAGCAGCTTTAATCCCCGCAGCGTTTTTTTGACGTGATCTTTGCTCCTGTGTCAGAATATACAGCCCTTCCCGGCATGTTGTTCCTATGTCAGTGCTTCTTTGGGGGCCGGGTGTCCTCTTTTTGAGGGTTCCCGTCACCCCGTGAGGACAGAGCTGCGTCACGTGGAGTGACACCCTGGGCAAAGCATGCCCCTTCCTCATGGAGGGGTAGAAATGGGTGTATTTTATGTATTTAAGGCTTAAATCACGTTACCTCCATCCCCCCGACCATGCACATGTGCCCCCAAAGATGTACCCCACCACCCGCTCCAGGCAGGGGTGCAGAGAGAAGGGGAGATGGAAGGTGGGGTCCCCCCGAGCCTTGAGAGTTCGGGAAAGAGAAGCCGGGGCTCAGTGCCCCCCTCCC